ATCATACAGGAGCCAAAACTTAATCCCCGAATCCTGCTTATCAATGGTATGAACACCTATATCAAGAGAGTGACCCTTGTTTGCAAGAAAATCTGCTGACTTGTTGCCTTCCCTGAACGTGTGAGAGATAGTAACCTCCCAATTTTGCTGTAGTAGTCTCTGAACCTGTCTCATGAGGCCCTGGTATCTTCCATTGTACGGTTCCGGTGAGGACAGGATGTTGAGAACCGTGGTGGAGTCGGTCCGCAATTGGATTCTTCTATGTCCTTGACTCCATGCAAGTTGCAGGCCTTGCAACGCACCTTTCAATTCCGCTTTATGATTGTGCATGAGCCTAATTTAGAGGCAAACGCTCCTATACAACGTCCCAAGTGGTCCCGCAGGAGACCCCCAGCAGCTGCTCTGGAATCTGGTTGCTTGACTGACCCGTCTGTATTGATAGCAATCCAACCTGGCGGTGGCAGATCCTAAGACAGTTCCTTCGCTTCTTTGCTCTTTTGCCTGACCTGGGTTCTTGCATTGTTGTCCTGGGCTTCTACAATTGTCCGGGTCCAGCTTTGAATTCGCTGTGCAAGGGTGGCGGCGTCTTGCTGCTTTTGTTGAAAAATCCACTCATTCCGTCTTTTCCACAGGTACCAGGCTGCCACACCAAAAAGGAGACTCGTCTGCGGGTTCTTTAAGTGCTCCGCCATCCAATCTGTCATGTTGAGGGCAATCGTTAGGCTGCTGTCCACAATTCCAATATGTTGCCATACCTGGGTGGTTGCAGGGCATTGGCGGAGGATATGCTCTGTTGACTCAGGCGCTGTCTTGCAAAGTTCAAAAGTGTCTTGGGTGCAAAGTTTCCTTCTTTTCCTTTCGCAATTCGTCATTAATCTATTGTGGAACACAAGCCAGAGGAAGTGGCGAATGCGGTTCGGGCCATCCCACTTCCAAATGCTTTTTCATTGCGGATGTGTCGTGTCCTGATTTGCTGAGTCGTTGTTGTGACCGATCCAATCAGCAGCAGCCAGGTAGGCTAAGCGGAAACGGAACCGTCCGTCAGCTTCCAATCCCCAGGTCGTTATGTCCTCGCCTGCATTGGAGCATGGAGGGTCTGTACCTGCAATCAACATGATTAAGTTGTTAGGGAGGTGAGGACGGATAATGGCCCAGTTCCACTCACCTGCGGCATCCGTCATATCTGCCACCGAGGCTCCCCAGTCGATATCGTCATCCAAATGTTCCACAAAGTCTAGGAGAGTAATGCCTTCCGCCACCCAGGCATCGCTCCAGAACTTGACATTCTCCCTGCTCCGGATATCCCATACAATACCCTGTTTCACTAAGGGGGGAGCCTCCATGATTCCCTTCCACAAACGTGAGACACGGTTGCGGCGCATGGTCACACTGCCATCCTCATTCTGTTGAATATATTTATCCTGCAGAATCCTAATCCAAAGGGAATTCTCATTATTTAGAAAGTTCCAGCCCAATTTCGTAAGATAAGCTAGGTTTAAAGCTCGTGCCGAGCGTAAGCCTAGCCCACCCTCATCTTTAGGTTTGCATATGGTCTCCCTGGAGACTAAGTGGGCTTTACTGCCCCCTTCATAAGCTCCCCAAACAAACCTTCTGATCTTCTTATCAATCACATCACAAATGTGACAAGGTAAAACTGCAGTTTGCATCACATAATTGGGTAGAGCATTCAGCACGGAAACGGCAAGGGTCACTCGACCAGCCAGAGAGAGAGGCTTTTGGTTTTCCAACCGGCCAAACGTTGGTCCAATTTCTCCAGAATATACTTGTAGGTGTTAATTGTGACGCGTCCATGAATGACCAGCACACCGAGATATTTGCCCGGATTGTTAGTCTGTTTCATGCCCAGAAGCCTGCTGATCCTAGCCTTGGTACAGTCCTTCGTATTCTTAGAGAAGAAAACACACGACTTCTCCTTGCTTATTTGTTCGCCAGAGGCTTCACAGAAGCTATTGAGGCAGTTCAGTATGGCAACCCCTTGTTTCGTATCCGCCTCCGCAAACAGCACAAGGTCATCTGCAAAAAAGAGATGGGTGAGAGGTGGTCCATTCTTAGACAAGGCTAAAGATTTCCAGGCTCCCTGGCCAACCGACTCTTTGATAGAGTGGTTCAGCCGTTCAATGCATAAGGTAAAAAGGTAGGGTGAAAGAGGACATCCCTGCCGTAAACCACGAGAAGGTGTGAACGGTTCAGTGCAGCTACCATTCCAGAGAATTTGGAAGCTGGCCGAGGTGACACAGGCCATTACCAGCTTCACAAACTCTGTCGGGAGGCTAGCAGCAAGTAAGGTAGACTGAAGGAACTCCCAATTGATCATGTCATATGCTTTAGCCAGATCGATCTTCAGAACCATACTGCCCTGCTTGCCCTTCATCAGACTGAGAGAGTGAATGACTTCCTGAAGAATGATGATATTATCTGTGATGTGCCTTTTTCGGCACGAAACTGGTCTGGTTCTCATCAACTAGACGCGGCATTAGGTTCTTCAGTCTGTCAGCTAGACACTTTGCAATGACCTTGTAACTCACATTACATAACCCAATTGGTCTAAATTGTGCCATAGATTTCGGCACGTCAACCTTTGGTAGTAGAGTGAGGAGGGTCGTATTGCACAAAGAGATGCGCCCTGGATCTCTGAAACACCGGACTAGATGGTTATGGAAGTCCTTGCCAATAGCACCCCAACATTTCTGATAGAAAAGAGCGTGGAAACCATCTTTGCCGGGAGCTTTGAGGCCTCCCATGCTTTTAATAATGCTGCAGGCTTCCTCTTCAGTAGGGATGGTCGCGAGATTTCTGGTGAATCTCTCTTCCAAAGGAGTAAAACAAGCTGTAATGGAGGGCCGTTCATAATCATCTTCCGTGAAGAGATTGATGTAGAAATCTCTGGCCATTTTTTCAAGAACCTCCGAGTCCTCCACCCAAGATCCATCATCCTTTTGCAGCTTGATAATTTTGTTCCGTCTTCGATGGGCTAGGGCGGTCAAATGGAAGTACTTAGTGTTCTTATCTCCATTAACAATGCAGTTAGCTCTCGCCTTCTGTATCCAAAGGAGTTCCTCCTGCCAAAGCGTCTGCTCTAGCTCTTCCCTGACTTTAGCTTCCTCTTGGAGAGAGATGAGGTCTGGAGATATATCATTACGAGCTTCCACATCAGCAAGCTTCTTTGTGAGTATCTCTTTCCTTTTGAAGATATTTCCAAAGACGTCTATGTTCCAAACTCGCAAAGTGTGTTGGAGGTCTTGTAAGGAGGTGAGGAAGTCTGCCCCTTCCTTCCACGCTTTGTCTATGGTTGGGTGGAAATCTTGGTGAGCTAGCCACGACGCTAGGAACCTGAAGGGCCGCTTATGATGCTTTTGGGATTGGTTGTTGGAGCTGCAAATAAGGATTGGCCGGTGGTCCGAGCGAAGCCGGGGTAGGTGGGTATTGTATGTGTCTGGAAAGCTCTGCATCCACTCCTCATTGCAAAGGGCACGGTCTAGTCTTTGCGAAAGGCCGCCTTTGACCCAGGTGAACTTCGGACCCGTAAAACCAATATCGATCAGACCACAATCGTTGATGCAGTTGTTAAAGCTCTCAGTTCTATTAGGAACGAAACCAGCTCCCCCTTGTCTCTCGGACGGGCAGCAGATGGAGTTGAAATCGCCGGCTAACACCCATGGTTATGAGATATTATGGTTCAATCTTCGAATAGCATCCCAGAGCAGTCGGCGGTCGTGCTCATTAGGCTTGGCGTAGACAGCAGTCACCAGAACCTCTTGGCCAACCTGCACATCCAGACAACGAAAGTGGAGGAATTGAGAACTACGATCAAGGAAAGAAATGGAGAAGCTCGAGGCATTCCAGAGGATCCAAATTCCCCCAGAAAAACCTACTGCATCCACCACCTCTGAACTATCAAACCCCATCATTCGAATAACATCTGTTGCATCTTTGCCGCTAATACGCGGTTCGACAATACAGACTATATTCGGACGATACCGCATATATTCCTTAAAAACAGCAAGAAATTTGGGGTTTTTCGCCCCTCGACAATTCCAAGAGAAAAAACGCATCATAAAAAAGGGAGAAGGGAGAGGGAAGCGCGGGCAACACTAAGAGTCAGCTGTCGCGGGCTGTCCCAGCGTCTCGAGCTTTTCCGGCTGGGTCGGTTCCACATTTGGCTCCTGGTTCTCTAGCATCAGGACATCTTTGTTATGAACGCCTGTCTGATTGTGAAATTCCTTGGCTTTGAGAAGAGAGAAGGCCACGAAATCTGCAATAGCTTGCGGATTTATCTAGAGCGATGATTCCTGAACTCTTTTCTTGAGCTTCTTCTTTAACGAGGGAGAGTTTGGGGGCTTCTTTCCCGGTCGCATTTGTAGACAGGCCATCTTTTCCTTCAATGGTGGTTCTGAAGCTTTTTTCCCTTGGTAGTGGTGGCGAATGGAGGGTTTCTGCAGATCGGGAGCAGTGGTTACTTTGTTCTCCATTTCGTCGGGGTTGACCATCGGCGGTAGGCTGTTTCCGGGCGTGGGCTTGGGAGAAGCGGTGTCCATACGTATTCCAGCTGATGGGTCTGTCTGTTTTGGCCCAGAGGTGACCTGTTGGGTTAAGCCCAGGTGGGTTTGTGGAGCCGTGGATTCAGCTTGAGGCCCAATAGCTCGCCAGACGCGAGTCTCCAACCCAGCTTGGTTTCCTTGGCCTTGGGACGAGGTAGAGCTTTCCCCATTTACTTTCCCATTTTGGCCGCTAGAAACTCCCTTTTTTGGTTCTGACTTTTGATTTGCCTTACCTTTTCCCTCCTTGCTAGCCTTAGCCCCAACATGATCCTCCTTGATTGGAGCCATGACTTTGGGTTTTTCCTTCCCAAAATTACCGCCTTTATTCCGTTATGATCCTGTATTCTGATTTTGCGCGCCTTTCCTGTTTGGCTTCCGAGATTTCCGCATAACCTGCATTCACGGTCCGTAGCCGGCGGCAGGTTCCGGCGACTGGGCAGGCTAACTTGGGTTGCTAGATGATGGTGGGCTTGTGGCTAGCGTTCCTAGGTTATTCGGGCAGGCTGCTTCTCTGTGGCCGATTCGCCCACATTCAAAGCATATTTCCGGCAGATTCTCGTATATCACTTGTTGCCAGAAGCCGTCTAATCGAATGCGCGTTGCCAATGGTTTCGACATATCCAGCTCAACAGCAAGTCGAGCAAATTTCCCCCTTTCGAGATGTTCCGTGTGATAATCCAGTTTCACTGTTCTTCCTATCAGATTTCCCAGCGCGAACAGTACCTCCCGGTGATAGAAGTGTACTGGCAACTCCGGTAGCTGGATCCAGGCCACCACTGATCGATGCGGCTTGTCTGAGGTGCGGAAAGAAGGTGACCATTGATGGACGACAAGGTAGTGGTCAAGGATTACCCACGGTCCGCCGGTGAGCGCATTGAGATAGTCTTGATCGTTATTGAAAGTGACGAGAAACGTCTCATTATTGAGGTCCATGATGTCTAGTCTTCCTGTCGGGCGCCATTTCCACCGGAGTTGCGAGCACAGATAGGAGTACGCTACTGATCTACCTAGCAGCCTGACCTCCAACGTTTTCTTCCATGGTGCGCAGAGTCTTTCTTTGAACTGGGCGGATACCTTGAGCTCCGGTTCTCCACCGAAGGAGGTAACCTCCAAATCGTGTTCGCCCACGAAGGCCCATTGGTTCATTTTGGCTGGGGTTTCTTTGACGGGACCGGTTAACGCGGATCTATAATTCAGGGGAGGGAGATTGGATTGGAGAGTCGGAAACGGATTCAGAGAGGAGACTGGTAGAGATTGGGGATCCGGCGGTCGGCCTGACAGTGCCAGAGCCTGAGCCGACGTTTGGTCGGAGATGACTTTTTCAGAGAGCATTTCAGAATAGGTCGTAACCCGGATAATTTGTATTGAGAGATTGATATTTGACTTTAATTTTGATAGAAACTTGCTATTGTAAATTTTTTACGACAAAAAACTGTGGGTACCCATGAACCTGCGATACCCAGCGGGTTGGGTTGGGTTTGAGATACTCAAACCCAATGGGTTTTACCCCGGGTTTTTTTCACGAATAAACCCATGAGTTTGGGTTTGGCAAAACTCAACCCAACCCATTGTCATCCCTAGGCTGGATGATGAAATCACAGCAGAAAATCTGCCAAATGTTTACAGCATTAGAAACCTGTAGATGGATGAGCTTGAATCGTCAATCAAGCTATTTGATCCAATGCGGCGTTAATACGTCCATAACAACAAAAACGACCCCTCCCCCCCTAAATCCATCAAGCCAAAGCCACTCCCAAGAAATGCACCAACCGTTTTGTATAGAGGATTGAGTAGGAACAATACTGAAAAATGAAAAATACTGGTTTTTCAACTCCCATCAGAGTTGGGATTCAGAGTATCACAGGTTTTAGAAAGAGAATTCAAGCATTTAAGTCAGAGCTGGTTTTTTTTTTTTTGACAAAGGACATTGAATTTCCATTTCTTGTGGCACAAGCCAGTCAAACCAACATGTGGGCAACAACATCAAGAATATTTAACCATTGCGATGGTAGCTGATTTCTAGCACATGATCTAGCTACCCAATTAGCCTTGAAATTGTTCTTGCGGTTGAGGTGATGCAACTTGATGAGAGGGTTCTCCGCCAGAAGTCTCTTGATGCATCCCAATCTTGCTGCCGCTCGCCACGGCCAAGATTTTGAGTCACTGTGAACCGCCTTCACCAGTTGCAAACAATCTGATTTCAGCAGGCATGGGGATCTGAGGGATGCTGCGAGACGGGAGCCCTCCAGCAAGGCTGTGGCTTCTGCTTCAAGTGGGAAGAAACAATGCATGGGCTCAGCTCTGCCATCACAAACTTGGCCATGGCTGTTCGTTACCACGACGCCATATGCCGCCTTCTGGGGCTCGTCAAAAAACGAGCCATCATAGTGTACTTCAAAGTGATGAGTACCTGGCGGTGGTGCAGTTTGTTGCTGGGGTGGGATGAGCTGAGACGGAGGGGGTCCATCAGATACTTTCCTTGGGCAAGTGGACCATTGGGTGTGGGCTGACGCCGCTCTCACGATCGTGGACGGTGGCCACGGCTGTTTGTCTCTAAAGAACTTTTCATTTCTGGATTTCCAGGTCTGCCAGGCAAGGAAGATAACTTTCTGAATCGTCACGATGGGGTAGAACTGTCGCAGGGAGTCAAGCCATTCAAGGAAGGAGGACAGGGGTGAAAGTCGAGGAAGGGATGGCCACTCTTGCCTCCATCCCTCCGCCGCGTGGGGCATGCAAAAAGGCAATGGTGAATTGATTCTGAAGAGTATCCACACAACGGGCATTCCTTTGAGGTGGCACACTTCCTCTCAAACAAGTTTTCTTTACACGCCAGTGCCCCTCTGGTAACCCTCCAGACGAAGAATTTGAGTTTCGGTGGTATAGACAAACTCCATAGCCACTTCCACCTTTGTCTACTTGTCTCCGGGAACTCCTCTGACCATCCTCCTTCCTGTCTAGCCTGCAGGTGAAACTGGGTGAAAGCAGACTTTATTGTGAAGTTACCTTGTTCAGTAAACCTCCAAGCCCAGAAATCCTCCATGGAGTCCGGTCCAATGGGAATCGCTGCCACCTGAATCAAGTCCTGTTGACTGAGAAAATTCGAAAGCAAATCAAACTTCCATTCCCTTGAGATTTCATCGATCCAAGAGTTAGCTGTATCATTTTCATTCCACTCAAACTGTAGTAGGGGCCCTGGCCTATCAAACCTCCATGGGTCATGAAACAGCCTTGTAGTTTTGCCATTTCCGATCACTCTGACCAGACCCTTAATCATCCATCTTTTAGCTTCACACAAACTGGACCATATCCACGATGCTTTACTGCCTTTTTTTGTATTCAGAAAGTCAGTGCTGGGAAAATAAATGCTTTTCACAACCTTCACCCATAAGGCCTCCTTGTTGGTGAGGATTCTCCAGGCCTGTTTAGCCAGAAGTGCAAGGTTGAAAGTATTGAAAGGGCGAAAACCGAGTCCCCCCTCCTCTTTAGGTGCATACAACACATGACCTGCTCTCCAATGAATCGTTTTCTTATTCATGGACCCTCCCCAAAAGAAAGATTTGAGCATGGAGTCCATTTTCTTCGTTGTACTCTTAGGCAGCAGGAATAAACTCATGATGTAAGAAGGGACCGCTTGAAAAACCGCTTTTAATAACACTTCTTTGCCTCCTGGGGACAGGAGAAGGCTCTTCTAGGCTTCCCCTTTTGATTCCATTCGTTGCAAAAGGAATTGAAAAGTTTCCTTCTTTGACCTACCCCATTCGGTTGGCACTCCCAGATAGTTGTCATGGCAGGGGGTTGTAGCAAAACCAGAGCTGATCACTATTCTGGCCTGTTCATCACTTGGGACGTTGCAGCTGAAGAAAAAGGAGGACTTGTTTTTGTTAACCTCTTGTCCTGTGACTGCTCCATACTGGTTAAGGATGTCCAAAATCTTGTCCGCCTCTTCACAGGTAGCCTCCCCGAAAATCACTGTATCATCCGCGAACAAGCAGTGGGATAGAACTGGGCAGTGTCTGTTAAGCTTTATCCCCTTAATCCCATTGCTGAGGACCGCTTTCTCGATCAGGAACGATAAATCATTCGACATGAGAATAAACAGGAGGGGTGACAAGGGGTCCCCCTGTCGAATGCCTCTAGAAGGGGTGAACTCTCTTGACAGCTCACCATTCAAAAGAAGGCTGAAGGTAACCGTTGTAATACATGAAGACACCCAGTTACACCACACGTCACTAAAGCCATAAGCTTTCAGCAGGGAGAGGAGGAGATCCCATTCAACCATATCATATGCTTTCTTCATGTCCAGTTTCATCATCATCTCCCTCTTCTTTCCTGTTTTATGCTTCTTGAAGTGATTAAGAACCTCGTGCACAATGATGATATTGTCTTGAATCTGTCTTCCCCCTGTGAAAGCAGACTGTAGCTCGTTTACCAGGTCAGGTAACACTTCTTCACCTGTAGATGGATGAGCTTGAATCGTCAATCAAGCTATTTGATCCAATGCGGCGTTAATACGTCCATAACAACAAAAACGACCCCTCCCCCCCTAAATCCATCAAGCCAAAGCCACTCCCAAGAAATGCACCAACCGTTTTGTATAGAGGATTGAGTAGGAACAATACTGAAAAATGAAAAATACTGGTTATTCAACTCCCATCAGAGTTGGGATTCAGAGTATCACAGGTTTTAGAAAGAGAATTCAAGCATTTAAGTCAGAGCTGGTTTGCTGCTACACTTCTTCACTTGGGACGTCTGCAGCTTGTCCATCGCCAAAGTCACTCACTGCCTCAGATTTTCGACGATGTAGGATGCATACAGATCCCTACAATACGTAATAGTAATACCTCCAAATAAGTCAAGAGGAACAACAGTCTTAAGGTTTCGTCCAACGAGACGAATCTACGAACTTAATCCACAACTTACATGGAATACTTGATGGCATCAACTGCAGCTTGAGCTGGCAAGAAGTCTTCTACATCAACTTTCTTGTTCTCATTCTTCTTGTCTGTTATTCATGGTCAGTTAAGGTTTTCCAGTATCTAGTGTATATTCCTGTGGTTGCCACCAATTAAATGCTTCTATGTCCAATGTGCAAAACTATTTATCTGGCTCAATCAAAACTAAGGAGCTAAAAAGTTTGTATGAATGGATACAGTCCTCAAAGAAGCGGCGAATTTCAGCCAAGCGATGAGGAGGAAGCTCCTTGATATCTGTGTAATGGCGAAACTCAGGATCATCTGCGCACACTGCTATGATTTTGTCATCCTTCTCTCCCTGCAATTAAACGTTTTTGCTACTGATTACTATTCAATTTGCATACCGAGGGCAAAATGACTTGGTGAAGTTACCAGCCCCACAAAGTTAAAAACGAAGAAGCTACTACAGGAAATCTTAAGCCTTCTCACCTGGTCAATCATAGGCATTAATCCTATGGCACGAGCACGGAGGAAAGAACCAGTTAGAACAGGCTCCTACACATGATGACATAGAAAAAGCCCGAAGGCAGGTTAGAAGTCTGAAATCTTGTGTTACATACTTATACGTTATTCTGACTGCAACGGAGTCTTAGAGAAACTTACCTGCATGAGTACCAGGACGTCCATGGGGTCGCTATCCTCACAGAGGGTTCTAGGAATAAACCCATAGTTATGCGGGTACACCACTGACGAGTAGAGAATACGGTCAACCTATTTAACGTTTATGGAATTGCAGCAGGAAAATATTCACATAAGTTAGATCAATCAAAACTCAAAGTACAATCTACCTAAGTTATAAACCTAAAGATAAGTGAGGCTCAGGGAAGGGAAGAAGATTCATACTTTTATAAGGCCAGTTTTCTTGTCAAGTTCATACTTAACCTTGCTGCCTTTGCTAATTTCAATAACCTGCCATTTGAGTCCATAACAATGCACGTTATAATGGGTATAGAGCATAAATCACAAAGTGTCTTCTTCAATTAGCCTACAACGAGAATCTTGGACTTTAGTAAAGGAAATCGAGGGAATAATATCGAAGGGGAAACTAAATGACACTGAGATACCATTAGAACGGTTATCAGTAATAATGTGGAACTTCCTAACAATTGGCTAGCTTTGCAATGGTTAAGCACACCACAAACTATCAAACAATTTCATCATCCAGAACTTACAACATTGAAGACTCCCCCATCTAACATTCCCATAATCAGCAAGCATGTGGAACTTCCTAACAATTGGCTAGCTGTGCAATGGTAAACCATACCACAAAATTTCAAACAATTTCACCATCCAAAAACTTACAACATTGAAGACGGATGGAGCACCAGGTCCTGCATAGATGTGAAAGGCCGGTCGGTTAACATGGTCAATGGAGCAGAATGCAAGAAAGAAGACAACCATTCCATAAGCATACAGTTCCAGCATAATTGGTAAACCCAAATGAAGCCTGGAGTAGGTTACCAATCTCCAAATCATGCCAGGGGTGAGCAGCTACAGATCTACGTGTCATCGAAGAAAGGATCCTTTCATTGAGTGCTGGACGCGGGTATTGTGAGGACCTACCAGTTTCTCCACCATTACCAGCCATCCTGATCGTTCACTACAGATTCAACACGGGTCAATGATACCTCAAATCAGTCAACAGAAGACAAGATCAGACTGAAAAACTTGTCAACATCGAAGCACCCGACATGATTCAGTCTATTAAAGGTTGATCGAAACACAATCATTCAAAAAAGCATTAAAGCACTCCAAAAGTAAGAAGAAAAAAAAGGCAAAAAGGAAGGGTAGCCATTGGGTTGTGATCGTTTAAGCAATCCGAGTAAATCGATCAACAAAAGTGGAACAAACAGATCAATTAGGTGATGGTGGGTCGATGGAACCGAAGAAAAGCCAAAAGCTGACAGGGACAGTCCAGGTTAACAAAAGACAATCATAACAAACTCTACACCACTGAATATCGATAAGGAGCTAAATCTAATGGATTGCAACAAGCTTTCGCTCTAATTCGATCCCTACTCATCAGCAGCAATCTCACATGGAAATCGCCGAGTCAATCGGTTCACCCACAGAAAGCCTGCAACTATCAAACCGCCATAAACTCATTTCGTAGTATAAACAGAAAGTCAAAAATCGATCATCCATCAAACTCAGTACACCATTCCATCGGCATGAAGAAACAACTGAATCAAGCTATTCCAATCATCAACCGAACAAGGAGTAAGGAACTAGCATCGGAGATGAATGGGAGACAAGCAAAAAACGCAGGAGAAAGATGAGATAGAACAATGGGACGAAGGGGAGCAGATTGACTGGGAGCAGGAACTTACAGAGAAGAAAGCAAAGCAAATGACGTGAGGAAACGGAAGCGAGTGGGAGAAGCGTGGAGAAGCAGAGTGCTAGTTTTGCGCTTTTCTGTGATTTTATAATGAAATTGCAAAGTGTAAGACAGTAAAGAGCCTAAGAGGTAATGCGATGACGGGGGGAAGGGTAAGACTTCAGTGGGCCGCGGGGATTTCAACGCCTGGTCTGGTCTCGCTTCTTGAGTGGATATCGACCGTTGGATGCTATTCGTAGCAGATTTTGGTCGTGCGGGTGAGAATGCCCGAATTGATTTTGGGCATTTTTGGGTTGCCGTTTTAATTGGGCTACTCTTTAATTAGGTGTTTTTACTTGGTGGTCCTTTGATGGGAGAGTTGTTATTAGGTTTCAATAGGAGATTTGATGATCATTTGATTGAGGAGTTGGTGTAGGTCAAATAGTTATTACTTTTACTCTTCATTTTTTTAATCAAATAATAGTTAGTAAATTATAAATTATGTTAATTTTTTTTTCTACACATCCTTAAGTAGTACGAACAAGGGTTTGACCTAATGGTAATACTATTAAGTATTAACTTAGAACCTGGAAGTCCCAGGTTTGAATCCCTTAAATAGTACCTTAATTTTAAAAAAAAATTACAAACCTATATCACCCTTATAAAAAAAAAGTTTAGGGGTGGTAAATGGTTAGTCAATTATTATTATTTTTTAACAAAAGATAATCATATTGATTGATAAAAAGATCACAGATTACACCCTATTCCCAACCCAGGTACGAAAATCATACAATCGACACGAAACCGGAGACAAATAAAGGGCCTTCTTAGCCACTAAATGGGCTACCCTATTGCTAATCCGACCCACGAATTGAACACGAAAACCACTATTCAGAGCCACAGACGCAGAATCTCCTGGATAATAGCCCTAACACGGTTGTCTTGCGCATCCTTGGTATTAATCTTATCAATGAGCACCTTCGCATCACCTTCAAATCGTACTTGAGGAATGCCACGATTCTAACACCACTAAATAGCTTCATGGAGGACAATAGTCTCCACCACAAGAGGGTCGACAATGTTTTCAAGAACCATTCCTCTTGCTAAGAGCACAAACCCGTCTCCATCCTTTAAGATCAACCCTCCAGTTGAATGTGAGTCAGCATGTACCGCACCAATCCACATACAGTCGACAGAGGGCACATCTACCACCTCCAGATTCTGCTGCAAAATAAACCGATCTCGGACGGGCGGACCAACATATCCTCTAATAAGGACACCCATTCATGGATTTACTGATGGTATTGGCGCATCAGTTGAGGAATCAAGAATTACTTGCCCTCAAAGGTCGTCCAGTTTCTAGATTTTCAAATACGTCACATGAGCGCCACCAGAGCCATAATCTGAGCCGACTGGGTCATCCTAAGCAATCAATTTTTAAGGAAAAAGGAAAGGTTTGTCACGGAAAACCGTGCCTCAGATGCTCCAATCCCGAATGAGTCCAGAGAGTTGTAGCGATTGGACACTCCCAAAAGAGGTGCTCCATCGTTTTAGATTCCACCCAACACACCGGGCATCGAGGCAAAATCTAGACCCTTTTCTCAATCAAAGATTTAGTAGTAGGCAGGATACGGTTGAAAATTTGCCACATGAACAGTTTTAGCTTAGGCGGTTCTCACATTCTCATCCAGCTCGCCCTATCCATCCAACTCACCATAGGGCGCCACACCCCAACCTGTCTATCCACCAAAACTGCAGGTGGTTAGAAGACTTGACAGTGAACACTCCATCACACGTATCATGTCATACCAATCTATCCTCTATACCTATACGGGGCAAGGGAACCACCATGATGGCAGGTACTACATCTGGTGGACAGATCTGTCGAAGAGATTGTCGACACCATCCTCCCCCGGAACTATAAGCTCGACCACCTTTGGATCATTGCCCTCCAGAATGACATGAGTATTGCACATAAGAGGATGAAGATGAGTATACGGGCCCCAGCTGGAATGTTGGATAGAGGCCTGGAGCCCATTCCCAATCTGCCACCGGAGTCCTCGTTGGAGGAGGAGACGGTCATGGAGAATACTCTGCCACCCCCACGATGAGTGAGGCCGCGCAGTCGCTGTTAGGAATGTACCATTCGAAAAGTACTTGCCTTTGTATATCTAGGCCAAGAGAGAATCAAGTTCGTTGAGAATCCGCCATCCTATCTTAGCCAGGAGGGCTTGATTAAAATGTCCGAACCGCCAAAATCCCATCCCCCCATCATGTTTACCCGTGCACAAATTCTGCCAGGAGATCTACCTAATATGAGGGCGGCCCCATTCCACCCCACCAAAATCTAACCACTTGTTTATCTTGAATGCGGCAGAGTGAGAGAGGGTGTTTAAAGCAGGACATAACATGGAGTGGCAAAGAGAAAGCAAATGATTCAATCAATGTATCCTTGGCCGCCCATGAAAGCACCTTCTATTTCCATCCCTGTAACCATTCCAACAACTTCTTCTCCAAATAATAGAAAGTAGTCATCTTGGACTAAGCAATCAAGGTAGGTAAGCCCAAATATTTATCATGCACTCCTACCTCTCCTACACTAAGACAGAGAGCATGGGTTTCTTGATCCACAAGCAGAATATTCTTACTAAAGCACACTGCGGATTGCCAAGTTGACCTTTGCCCACTAAGCTCTTCATATTTGTTCAAGACGTCCAACTGGTTTTCACATTCTTGCATTGATTCTCTGAGGAATAGATATGAATCATCGGAAAAGAAAAGATGTGAAACACCTGGAGCTCTAGGACCAACCCAGATGCCTGCTAGCTTCCGTTCCTCGATGGCCTTACGTATGAGCGCCACAAAACCCTCTATGCAGATGAGAAAGAGGAGGGGAGACAAAGGATCGTGCTATCAAAGTCCCCGAGTCGAGTTAAAATCAGCAACTGGTGTACCATTCATAAGAACAGAAAACGAGGAGGAACACAAGCACTCCTCAATCCATTGTACCCAAGTCGGATTAAATCCTATTTTTCCTAAGACCGCAAGTAAGAACGACCATTCGATCTATCATAGGCCCTTTTTCGTATCAACCTTCAGATCCATATACCCCTTCTTACCCTTAGTCTTAATCTTAAGGTAATGCATCAATTCATGTCCAATGAGAACATTATCCACTATATTTCTTTCACGAATAAAAGCATTATGCCCCAGCGAGATTAAATTAGGGAGGAACCGAGCCAATCGTTCAGACATAATTTTAGCAATGATTTTGTACACAAATTGACATAAACTTATAGGTCTAACTGGCGCATATTCTCCACATTATCGACTTTGGGAATTAGCGTTAACCAAGTGTGGTTAAAGCTTCGTAACATCCGTCCTGTTAAAAAAAAAGAAGCAAATAGCTTCCACCACTGACTCACCAACGATATCCAATAATGTGCCAAAGAATTTTCCAATGAACCCATCCGACCCCGGAGCCTGAGTGGATCCAATCAAGAAGACTGTTTGTCGGATTTTCGACGCCAGAACCTCAGTAGTTAGAGCCGCATTCATCTCCTCTGTTACCGTCCGAGCAATAGGTAGATCATCCACCCAGGCCTCCGTATCATCTACATGGTTCTCAGAGGTAAAGAGAAGCTGGAAAAAATCAACAAAAATATCTTCCTTCCCCTTCTCATCGATGATCCATTCATCATCCCCATTCCTCAACCCAACCACAAAATTTATTTTTCTCCTAGCCTTTGTGACAGTGTGGAATTAAGATGTATTGCTATCACCTTTTTTGAGCCACCATACTCGATATTTATGTTGCCAGTAGATCTCCTCAGCCTCCCACTGGCGACTAAGCTCCATCTCGAGGTCCCGAACACTGTCTCAATCAATAGGAGTCAGGTGCTTTACCTTCTAAATCTCCGTCTGGAGAGTTTTGATATTTCAAAGGGAATTAGTCGTACCATCCCTACTCCCGTCATATGGAAGATGGCGGAGGATTTTTAGTCGAGCCCATAACGTATACATGTGGGATCCTTGGACAACCTCATTCCACACAAACACGACCATTGCTCTAACTTCAGGATTCTTCGCCCAGCGTGCGTCGAACCTGAATAGAGGCCGACTCTGTCACGTGAAAGGTTTTTCAGATAAGAGAAGAGCTCTATGGTCTGACCCTTGATCCATGTGATGCTTCACCAAGGACTCAGGGAACTAGTCCATCCAAGACTGAGAACATAAATTCCGATCAAGTCTTTCCCGAACACAGGCCTGTCCTATCCGCTTATTGGTCCAAGTGAATTGACCCCCCTAGAAACCCACATCATGGAGTCGTAGATCGTTCACAAAGTTCCTAAGCGCAACGGAGCGGGTCGGGTTCCAAAGGATACCTTACTACTCGATCTTTTTTTCAACAAGAAAACTAGATCAGGCTTATTAGAATAAAGTAAACCTACAGCAGTACAGAATGTGAGGGTTGGTCCAATCCCTCTCACATTCAAAGCCAAAATCCTCATTTATCCACATGGAGCCATTTCAGACTAGCTACCTCCACCTCTTCAGTCTGTTCTTCCACTTCAGTGAATTGGCATTTGGTCGATGGATCCTCTCTCTGATCATCATCCGATCCCTAAAAAGCTCGCTTCCTCGATCCCACCACCAGATGACCTTCATCAGAACCGTACTCATTTGATTCAATTCCTCAGATAGCCGATCCCCTTGAGGCTCTTCGGCACTCACCAGTCCAGGTCCAGACCCCTTAGCGAGCTTTATCGATTCCTTACCTTCAAAGGATTCAACAATACGTCGAACATGGCCCACCCCTGGCACAGCCGAGCTAGCCTGCATAGTGGGAACAGAACGACACTTTAAATCAAAATTATGGCCATCAGTCTCCATATCAGAGTTGGAATACCCCTCAGAAACCATCTTCTTAGAATCCTCCTCCACTTGTGCCGATAAGCCCACCTGGACCTTTCTTGTAAGAAAGTTTTAAGGAGAGGGAGAGGATAAGAGGTCATCATTAACCTCATCAAACATCATACTGGACTGCTCCATCCCAGAATCACAACTCAAAGTACTGCGATCCAGTCTTGTCTCCATAGTAGAGTGTTTCCCCTTCTTCTCCCTCTCGACCATTTTTTCCTTTCCCTTTC